ACATTCATCCAAGCAGTTTTATTACTATCGAAGAGAAGATTTTCAAAAATACAAAAGATCTGAACTTCTGCACATCATTATATCTTGTCAGATTAAACAAATTTAAATTCATTCATTTTAGATGTCTAATATTGATAATAATAATAATGATGCGAATGATGATGGTCTTGCAGAATATCGTCTAGCATTAGCTCATCACACTTCTGAAAATTCTTTATCTAAACAAGAAAAACGTGCAGAATTACGTTCACGTTTTTTAAATGTTCTTGAATATTTAAAAACTAATCAAACTATTTCACCTATTCAACTTGATTTTCATCGTGAATCATCATTAATTGCTACTCGTTGTCTTAGTATAGATTCAAATTTTTCTCAAATATTAGTACAAGATTTACAAACACATATTGGTCATATGCCAACAGCATTGATTCGTACGAATGATCTAACAGCTATTTCATTTACAATTACATCATAATGACAACAACAATTCAAGATCAAACAACTGCAGCAGCATCAAAAGAAAAAACACCTTTTGTGGTAGGATTTTTGTTTATTTTGTAAAAAAATATTTAAAAAAATAAAAAATAAATAAATAAACATACAGATACAAGAAAAAAAAACATATGATTTCTAGTATATTGATTGTTGTTTAATTCAATCAATCGATGAAGATGATGAACAATATGAAGGTTGTTTATGTTCATTCAATGATACTTGTACGAGTTGTTCATGTGCAAGTCGTTTTGGTATTAATTATAATTCATTGAATTGTTTAAATATGAATAAAAATGGTCCAATATTTGAATGTAATTCTGAATGTCATTGTTCATTTGAACTTTGTCAAAATCGTGTTAGTCAAAAAGAAGATCAATCAAAAAATGTTGAAATAATTTCAACATCTAATAAAGGTTATGGTGTTATTATTAAAAAACCTATTCTTTATCCTGGTACATATATTGGTGAATATGTTGGTGAAGTTTTATCAGAAAATAAAGCTCATAATCGAATAGAATTAACTAAAAATTATGAACATAATTATTTATTACTTTATAATGAACATCATCAATCAGAGAAAATCATAAAAACATTTATTGATGCACGTTATTATGGAAATTGGACAAGATTTATTAATCATAGTTGTAATCCTAATTTACATATTGTACCAATACGAATTGATCAACCAACACCACCACATTTCGCTTTTTTTAGTTTACGAAAAATTGATGCAAATGAAGAATTATCTTACAGTTATGGAACAAGAATTGATGAGAAACATTCTAAACCATGTTATTGTT